GTGTTGTATCTTTGCTACACAACACTGATGTACATGTTTACATACGGTTTTAGAATTGCATTATTGATCATGAGTAACGTGAGTAATAATATTACTCGAATGATGCCCAACTCTGGCCGTTGCGAGAGACAAATATTTGAATTATGCAATTTTTTTGTCTCTGTCCATGCGTGTCACCCAAAATGAGTTCGTGTGTCACCTCTGACACGCATATCATAGGTTCGCCATCACTGCTCTATGACTTTGGAGGTGGAAAAAAGGACTTGATTAAATCTAGAATATATGTCCTGACCAGGCAGTTTTCTCAGAGAGGACTAGCTTGTGGTCTATAGGAAGCAGTTCAGTTCCAAGTCATTTCAGTTCTGGTTTGGTGTACAATGTATAGAACAAACAAATAGGAATTTTGGAAAATTAATGAGGCTCTGGAAAAGATTCTATCCTTCCAGTTATCTTGAAATTTTGAGTTTAGTCTAAGCAGTCTTTGAGTAAGTATTTAGCTATGCTTGGGAACCTGGCTAGAACCAAGCAAACCAAGTGTAACTTGCATAAAGATTGTAGTTCACAGATCTGGGGCGAAGCTGAGGGATAGTGTCACAGAATGATGCCCAATCACAAAATCTGGTAGATCACTCTAATATGCATCATTCTTAAGGGGATGTATAGAGAGAATCCAGTTACCAAGGCAATGAAAGAATGTGTTCAAGAGTTAGAATAAGGGACAGTGCTTGAAAAGCTTCTGATGTTGACAAGGGGCTAGTTTTAGAACAACTGTTTTACAGTATTCACATACCTAGAACACAAATGACCATGTACATCATGAGATAAAAACACCCATCTTGAGAATGAAACATTACCCAATACAATTGAAGTTCCTGGGTTCTCCTCTCTGCATCTCTCTGAGTTTCTTGTATTTATAATACAAATACATGTATTCCTAAATTAATGTTGTCACAAGTTATTTCCTTCATCTATATGCTATTATTCTGCATGAATGTTTCTGTAACTTGAGTTTCTTCATTCAATATTATGTTTGTGAGATATTTTCATGTTGCTACATGTAGCACTGTTTAGTAGTTTTTAGCAGTGCTGTCTTTGCTGTGGTCTGAGTTGTAGGGAGGAAGAGAAAAGGAGGAGGCCATATAAGGGACTTGTACAGACTGCACACTTGGTGTCCCCAAGTGGTGACCCAATTTGTCCATGAGTCAGCTGCAAATGTGCTAACAGGATCTGGCTAGTAAAGAATTCTAATTATAATGAAAGAAACTGAATTTGCATGAAGAACTTGGAATCAACCAAATATTATAATATTTCATGGTAATAAACACATGATATGAGCATAATAAATGCATGTTTCCTGATAAAAATAATTTTTAGCTGAAATATATCACTGTTTCAAAAATTAGACACTCTTACAAGTGCTATGGGAAAAATGGCCTAATTAATTTTTCTCTCCTTTGTTTTCTCCACCCTTTCTTCTCTAGTGGATATGATTCCTGCCCTGTAGTTGTCTGAAGGATCAATATTGAGCATCATTAGTGACCCTCAGCTTCCACCTGACTGTACACCACAGCAAAGTCTTTGGAAATATTTTTCAGTTAAAACAGTAATGACTTTTTTTGGAATGTATTCCCAGTGGAGCCTGTTTTCTATGTAGCCTGGAAGAATACCTAACTAACATTGGCAATTCTTCAAATACTTTATAAAAAAAATCATTCTATATCAAAGAACTGAGTGACTGGGTTGTTGAAGGGGACCTTAAGAATTGAGGATATCAATTCACCTGGAAGATTCAACCACTGCTATTCAGAGCTGCTGCTGAAATACCATGTCTAAGAACTCAGAGTTCATCAATCTCTCATTTTTATTAGATCATGAGAAGGAAATGATCTTAGGAGTTTTAAAGAGAGATGAATATTTGAAGAAAGTGGAGGAAAAGAGAATAAGGTAATATTCTTTTATCTTTGCTGCCCTCCTTCACTGCTTTCTGTTTGTTTGAAGCAATTTAGATCAGAAATGGGACAACTGCAACCACATTGAAGACAAATGTTGTTCAGTGATTTCAGGGGTTCCAAATCATAGCCCAAATATTTTTTGTACTTTATTATTTAGCTGGATGGAAGAATGGAGTTGATCTAATAACATGGTGTTGATGAGAATGCCCATTTTTAATAATGTCACAACTTGTAGCTAAGTGGGAGGACTGCCCAAGTTTTAGTGCTAGCTCTGGGATATATTAGTTGCATGACCTTGATTAAGTTACTCAACTTCTCCATGCCTTGGTTTCCTCATCAATTAAACAAGGATAATAATAATAATAGTATATACCTCATAGGGTTGTTGCAAAAGTTAAGGAAGATAATACATGTGCAGCACCTGGTACCTAAGTGTAAAATAAATATTAGCTATTATTTATTTATAATGCTTTTCTCTGATCAGTCTTACTGGGACTTTGTCTCCACTATAGCTGGGATAAGAAGCAGGGGATCTTGGGAGTGAAACTTACCTATTCTACCCCAGGAACACCTATATTTTTTCAAATATGTCTCTGTGAGAAAAGTTGAGTAATATTGGCACAATCGAGTTTCACATCAGTTATAGGCATGTTTGATATTTGGCTAAATCCCCATATATGATCTCACCTATGTTTCAGCCAACATCCATTCTGATTGATTGCATTATCTGTTCTGAATGGTCATATTGTCATTCTGATTGGCTGCTTCATTCACTGCAATTAGTTGCTGCCTGTACTGTCCTGCTTGTTAAATATATTTAGCTATTACATATCACCCCTGAATACAGGAGCAGATATAAACAGTTTCCTACTCAATTACTGCTTACTGTGCAACATGTAGATTTTGTCTTGTATGTTTTCCAAACTGCAATCAGAAGCTTTGTTTATTTTGCTTGAAGAGAAAACTTGTATTAATATTTATTATCTTAACATGTTCCCAAAATAATCAATGTACCTAAAGCAACTAGGATCCTTAGAATTGGAAATACATTAAAATATTCTTGATTGATGCTTATTTCATATTACAATATACATAAGAGCTCTTCAGGGTAAAGTTATTGATTTTCTGCCTCTTTAAATTTTTTTGAGTAATTAATGTTTTTTTCTACACTAAACTGTGTTAAATGTGTTATCTCATTTTTTTTTTGAGCTACCAAGGTATGAGTCAAGCCCAGAGATTTTGGTTCTGTCACTCTTAACAGCTCTGTATTGAAAAGCCATGCCAAATTTGGCAGCTGTTGAAGCATACATCCACACTTATTGATTGAAATCTTAGTTGCACCATGAAATCTTTGTGTCACCTTGTACAAGTGACTTCCATAAATAACTGGAGAGCATTATGCTAAGTGAAATAAGCCAGTCAATGAAGGAAAAATACCACATGATCTCACTCATTCATGGATAATAGAGACCATTATAAACTTTTGAACAATAATAGATACAGAGGTAGAGCTGCCTCAAACAGATTGTCAAACTGCAGCAGGAAGGCTGGGGAGGGTTGGGGGCAGGAGGTAGGGGGGTAAGAAATCAACCAAAGGACTTGTATGCATGCATATAAGCATAACCAATGGACATAAGACACTGGGGGGATAGGGGAGGCTAGGGGACTGTCTAGGGCGGGGGGAAAAAAGGACACATATGTAATACCCTTTGTAATACTTTAAAAAAATAAAAAAAACAAGTGACTTCCATAAATAAATCTAGTTTCCTCATTTGACAAACAGAAATTATAACATTAGCTACCTCATAAGGTTGTTGTAAGGATTAAATAAGATATTATCAAGAACGTAGAGCAATACTGACATACAGTAAGCACTATATAATTCCTGGCTATAATCATTATTCCCATGGTTCGTTTGGCTCTTGATTTACTAGTTCTAGTGACCACTATCAGTGCTCCATTCAGATCCTCTGGGTCCCTTGGATCTATGCTCTCATCCCCCATTTTCTACCTGCTTTACTTCTAAGGGTTGGCACCTACTGTTTTCTTTAGAGGACCACCTTTGGGTGGTTGGAGTTGCCCATAGGATTAGAAAGCCACAGTGACAGGTAAGTTTATGTCCCTATTGGGCAGCCCCAAATCAATGGCTGACAGATACTGTAACCATTTGCCTCTACCTTGAGGCAAGACAGACTCAACAATGCGACTTCTGCTTCAGAGCTCCCCATGGGAACATGCTGAGGTTGGACTTCACCTTGGCTTTGGCCCTCTTCCTTTCCTTTCCTACCTCACCTACTTCCTTATCAGTTCCTACAGAGAGCACTCCTTAAATAATTTGCACAACAAATGCACATTTCAGAATTAGCTTCTGGAAATCTCAACTAGAGGATTTGCTAGAGCACACAGGGAACTTAATCATTTTCCTTGCTATCATCCAAAGTTATCAACATAAGGAAATTATGGTGTAAGAGATTTTGTTGCACCAGAAAACTTTTGTGTTAGTTATTACAGTTGTTTTCACTGTGCTACAGAGGTGTAAGTTGATATTTGGTGGGAGTCTAGAGGAAAAAATAATCCGCTATGAATAAGATCTAAAAGAAGAAATGGTTTCACAGGAGAGGTTACATATGAGCTTAGCCATGAAATTTGAAAAGGATTTTGATACTGGCAAATATATATCAACTATATTTCATCTGTTTACCATGAACCACAAAATTGCCTTCAGATTCCACTAATAGGCTTCAGAAGGAAATGGAAGCCAAGGAAAAAAATTTAAGCATTATGATCATCACAAAGAAAAAACTGGTCTGTAAAGTTAGTAAACTGGAGTTTGGGAAGCAGTGGATTTTGTATTTGTGTGCTTACTTGCTTAAATAGGCTGTCCTTAGAGATTAAGAAAATAGAACAATGGAAAAGTGTGAAAATTATATTGAATCAACATTTTAGAGGCCTGTCCCACAATTGTGCTCCACAGTCCACATAGCCACTATAATGTGGCATTTGTTAAGGTGGAACCGGTCTCTGGGTGCTCTTTTATTAATTTCTTTATTGATTAAGGTATTACATATGTGTCCTCATCCCCCATTACCCCATACCCCCCAACCCCTGGGTGCTTTTAAAAGTGCTCTGCACCCAAAAGCACATCAGAAACCTGATTATTACCTCCAGGCATGAACTGTAGTTTGGGGAGAGATATCAGAGCATTCTAGATTCATCCCAGAGGCTCAAATATATTTATTTTTCTATTTAAGCCCAAGCAGGAAGGAGTGATACAGGACATACAGACACAGGTTTCAAGTATTAAAGAGCAAGAGTATTTTAAATGTTCTTTGTAAAGAACAAATAAATTATGTTTATTGGTGCTTTAATGCAATGAAGAAAGAGGGAGGAACTGATGCAAAGAAAATTGGAACTATCAATAGTGACTGCAAATGCAAAAAAAAATACCTTTCATTTGGAAGCATAATATTAAAATGTTTGTTGATCCTTTTGTATTTTAGATTTTTCTAACTGTGGAAGAACTCAGCCTAACATAAAAAAGTACATGACTCATAGTATCTATTTCTACCTTCCCAAATATCAATAACAAATTTTTACTCTACTTGATCTTCCACACCTAAAAATAAATACTGCTTGCTAAATGTCTACTTTGTCGTATTGACTTATGTAAGAAATCTTCAATTTAAAATAAGTACCTATTTATTTCTGCAGTTCATTTGTTGGCTTTATTCTCACGAAGATATCATTTTCATTTGGCCACAATGCCTAAGTCTAAACCATGTCTGCACTTAGGTTCTTTTTGACACCTATTCTTGGACTTGTCTCAGTAGTAAGTTCTATTCATTGCCTTATAGTAGTGATGGTGAACCTTTTGAGCTTGGCGTGTCAGCATTTTGAAAAACCCTAACTTAACTCTGGTGCTGCCACATATAATAGAAATATTCTGATATTTGCAATCATAGTAGAACAAAGATTTATATTTTTGATATGTATTTTATATATTTAAATGCCATTTAACAAAGAAAAATCAACCAAAAACATGAGTTCGCATGTCACCTCTGACATGTGTGTAATAGGTTCGCCATCACTGCCTTATAGCATACATTTCTCTTTTCTTTCTTCCTATCCAACTCTCAGTTTTGCTCAACTCCAGCAGTCACTTTAAAAAAATCATTCCTTGACTGGGATTCCTCTGGCAACTATTATGGGTCTGGAGGTGGACATGAGACCAAAGATGACCCATTGAAGAGGGGTCTCTTCCCCAGTGGACATGTCCAATAACACAGTTATACCAGTTGCTGTTGCGTGTGAATGCCAGCACCCAGATATACTAGTATGGGCCACACTTCTGGGCTACTTAATTTTTAATTACATTTATTGGGTGACATTGGTTAATAAGATTATATAGATTTCAAGTGTACATTTCCTTTGACACATGGTTTGTATACTGGATTGCATACCCACCACCCAAAGTAAAATCATCTTTCATCATATATATTTGACCCTCATTACCCTTCTGTCTGGTAAGCACCCTTCCCTCTGGTAACCACCATACTGCTATCTGTGTCTAAGAGTTTTTGTTCATTTGTTTTTCTTGTTTGTTTATTTGTTCCTATTATTTATATCCCAAAAACCTAAATATTAGATCTGAAACAATAGATTACCTATGTTTTATAGCTACTAAACTTATGGACCTTGGTCGGAGAGAACATTTTATGCATTTGAGCCCAAAGGCAAGGGAAGTAAAGGCAAAAATAAATGAATGGAACTATATTAAACTAAAAAGATTCTACACACCAAAAGAAACCACCAACAAAACAAAAAGGCAGTCCAACCAGCGTGGCTCAGTGGTTGAACATCAACCTATGGACCAGGAAGTCATGATTCGATTTCTGGTCAGGGCACATGTCCGGGTTGTGGGCTTGATCCCCAGTAGGGAGTGTGCAGGGGGCAGCCAATGAATGATTCTCTGTCATCATTGATGTTTCTATA